CCCCCCCCGCAGCTCAGAGGCCGCTCAGCCCACCAGCAGCTCACCCTTCGGCCAAGGAAGAGGCAGGCAGTTCTGCCAAAAAAAAAGGATTGAGCCCCTCACCACTTCTGCCTTCTGCAGGCAACTGCTGAAGGCAGAAGTGGCAAGAAGCCAGATCCTTTTTTCCTGCCAAGCCTGCCCACCTCTCCCATGGTTGGTGGGTGGGGAAGCTGACAGCTGCATCATTGCAATTTGCAACACTGCAAACCTATTTAAAACCCCAAAAACTCTTGGATGTGTACAGTGTGACGCCATTAAGCCACTGACATTTTCATCATGTGTACATGGTAATGGTGTCATATGTACAAGCACGCTAAGTCTTTATCTTTAAAGAATGCTGAATCCTCCTTACGCAAAGTGCATGTTAGTCAAGTTTGGTAAAATACCCAGTGTCTTAAGCAACTTAATTCTGTGTCAACAACTGACAAGACAATTGCATAGGACATTTTTACTGCTTCTGATGAACTCTGCATCCCTGAAAAGGCATTTTTCATAACATTAAATGAAAGGTCAGCCTTTTTCACTCTCTTATTCATCTCTTAATTTTGCATCTCTTCCCCTCTGACAATATGTTTGAAATAATGGGCCAAGTCCCTTTTTTGAAATTTAATGGTTTTAATTCAGATTGATATTGATGTGACTGAGAACATAAGCATTGCTCCATTACTTTCTTCCTTTATATCTTCCCTGGGCAAAATAGCTTAGTTATTTGAAAATACAAGTTATGTTTATTGGTGATTTTTATTCCATCAGTATCTGGGCGTGTGTGTGTGTGTGTGTGTGTGTGTGTGTGTGTGTGTGTGTGTGTGTGTGTGTGTGTGTGTGTGTGTGTGTGTGTGTGTGTGTGTGTGTATTTAATGCAGTCGTTTATTGTTATAGTGTGAATAACATTATTAAGTAGTACAAATTATAATACTACAGCCGGCATTCTAGAAATAAATATGCTTTAAAAACTATTGAAGTCTTTACATACCTTTGAGCATTGGGCATAAAAGATGTATTCACATAAGAACAAATAATGGATATTTTTCTGCATATATTGTAAGTGATTTACACAAGAATAATAAGAAGGAAGTAAACATTTAAATTCCACCATTGGGGTCTAGTGAGATATGGTATATGTGCTGCTTATAGTTGTGGGGGAAAATGTCATTTGCTTTTACCACCATATTAGGTAATGGCACCTCAACAGGTGCCATTATTGTTGTTGTTGTTATTGTTGTTATTATGGGCCCTGTCACGGGCCAGGGTAGTCATCTACAATCTTTGGATATTATTGTAGATTCTAGCCAAGGAGTTATGTTTGAACTCTTGTTGAATACTTAACTGTAGAAATCAAATGAGAAGGAAGCCTTCATTCAGTCCTATTGTCGCTGTTGAGTTTGTAGATAGGGATACAATAAAGGATTCACAGAACAGTGTTCTTGGAGTATTTTATTTCATATAACCTGCACCTTTCTCCCCAAAACCAGCTGGAGAAAATTGGGGTGAACATTATGTGGAGATAGTTCAGCCTCTTGATGCTTGACAGGACTGAATTTGTCCCTTAGGCCTACAAGGCCTAATTGCCCTGACATAAGTGGGCTAGAGTATATTCACGGAGTTAGCATATGCGCACAGGCTGTGTGATTGTGGAACCTGTTTTTCTACAGAGAAAGGTCAGGTGTAACTTGTTTTCCTGCAAAAAGTTTGATAAAAACACTTGTTACAGATAAAAGGGTTTGTTATGGCGGCTTCCACCCATATCTGGAGCAGAAGCCTCCTGGTGCCAAGAGAAGGAAAAAATGATGATCAAGTAGAGTCATAACTCAGGTTGTTGCTGAAAAACAGAAAACTGGCTTAATTGGTAGCTACCTGACTAAAGGACTATAAATATTACCATGTGAACAAAGGAAAACTCATCCCTTCCCCATTCCCTTTCACCTTTCCCTCACCCTAACGATGCCTGAGAACTGAAGACTTCTGATCTCCCTTCAAGGAATCAGCCTGCTCTGAGACACCTGGACAGTTCTTGAGATGTGTATTATTAGGACTGGTAATATGCAATATCTTGCTTGCTAAGATGATATTTATATGCACGCTTGGAGTGAATACTTTATAATACCCAATAGAACTGATTTATTAAAGAATTAACTAGGTTCTTGTTTGGAGAAGATAACGGGGTTCTTGTTTGGTGAAAACTAAAGCATACTTTACTGCAATTCAACTCTGATGTTTGCTCTCCATTTGGGAGGAGAACCAGCTCCCACCAAGTTCTTAAGGCAACAATTATATGCAAAAAAAAGGGCTCCCCATGTGTCCAGAGATGTCTTTAGGGGGAGGAGCGTGAGCTCTGGGAGCCACAAGAATACATTCTTCCCTTGCTCCTTCCCTTCACCCTCCTCTGCACACATTTCTGGATGCATAGAGTGCCCCCCCTCCCCAATCTCATGCTGGATCTGGAAGGTGCATGCAGTTGGTCCACAGCCAGAGCACCAGCCTTGTCTTGGCACACAGCCCTGGACCCAGGACATGGCTCCAAAACCAGTGCGCAGGGTTGGGCCCAGCATGGAGCTGGAGTCAGCAGGCTGGATCAGGCCTGGCAGGCTATGTAGCTCTGAAGCCAGCATGCCAGTTCGGGCCCCAGCCCACCATATAGCCCCAGTGCCAATGTGCTGGATTGGGCCCTACTAAGCAATGTGGTTGCAGCCTGGTGCAGACTCCAGCCCTGGCACATGGCTCCTGGCCCCCAGCACCAGAGAATTCAGACCTCAGCTTCTTACCCATACTCCATGGTAAGATTTTTTTTCATACATTTCATAGACATTAGGGGCTGGAAGGGACCTCGTGAGATCATCAAGTCCAGCCCCCCTGCCATAGGCAGGAAATATGCGGGGATCAAATGATCCCAGCAAGAGAAACATCCAAACACCTTTTGAATGAGTCCAGAGTAGGTGCTTGCACCACCTCCGGGGGGAGTCTGTTCCAGACGCTGGACACATGGACTGTAAAGTTCATGGACTTCTAGGAGTTTGTGGCCTTTGGACCTTGTTATTCCTTGGGGAGCTCAGGTGAACAACTGTTCTCCCAGAGCCTGATACACTCCCTTATGTACTTGTAGGCTGCCATCAGGTCCCCTCTGAGCCTTCTCTTCTCCAGGCTGGAGTCCCATGTCTGTTAGCCTCTCATAAGATTTGCTGTCTTGGCCTTTGATCATATGGGTGGCTCTCCTCCGGACTCTCTTGAGTGTATCCATGTCCCTCCTGAACTGTGGGGCCCAAAACTGGATGCAGTACTCCAGCTGCAACCTTACCAAGGCCGAGTAAAGTGGGAGGCAGGGGTGATCCATAGGGGGTGCGCGCAGGTGTACGCGCATCCCGAGCGTGGCAATGCACCCCCTGTAAAAAGGCACTGATGCTGCCAGTGGCGCCTGTGGGTGGTCACTGACCCCTGGTTGGCACTCACCACACCACCCCCAATACCAACAGTGCTGGCAGCATCTGCAGAAGCTCCCAGCTTACTGCTGCCACACTCCCGCTGCCGTGCTTCTGCCGCTGCCAGCGCAGCTGTGCCCCCACCAGCCGCCAGGGGCATGCGCCATTCATGGCAAGAGGATGATGTCCCTGGTTTTGCTAGAGATGCATTGATGAATGCATGCCAGAGTTTGGTTAGCTTTGCCGGCCACAGCATCACATTGGTGGCTCATGTTCATCTTGTGGTCAATCAAGACACCCGAGTCTCTTTCAGTTATGGTGCTAGTGAGCGTAGTAATGCCGACCCTAGAAGTATGATGCTGGTTGTTCCTCCTGAGGTGGAGCACCCTGCACTTCTCTACGTTAAATGCTATCAGGTTTTGGTCTGCCCACCTTGTGAGCATGTCCAGGTTGGCCTGTACCCCCAGCCTGTCTTCTAGTGTGGCTGTGTTCCCCCATAGTTTAGTGCCGTCCACAAACTTTTATTAGTAGATGTTTTGGATTGGGAATCCAGAAAAAAGATGACAAAGCTGATATGGAAATACAAAACGCCTGAGTGAGGGACTAACAATAGAGGGATGGGGGAGAGGAGGGGAACGCGACTAGGTTACAATACTAATCTGCATCTGATACCTGAATCCAGATCATTAATGAAGATGTTGAAGAGTTTCTTCTTGGCGCCTTGTAAAAATAGGGTGTATGTTATATTTGGGGGCATGGTATATATACAAATATGGAAATAATGCTTTAAAATGTTCTAATACAGGATGGCCAACCTGTGGTATGTATGCCATATATGGCACAGCAGTGTCTGTGTGTGGCACGCAGCAGATCAGGGTGGAGACAGGCAGCACGAGGGCAGAAGAGGCAGAAAGCAGAGCAGTAAATTGGGCAGAAAGCAGAACAGAAGATTAGTCAGGGGAGAGGATCAGAGTAGTATCTGCAGAGAGGGTGAGGCTAATTTGGCTAATATCTGCCAAAAAAAAGGTTGACTTCCACTGTTCTAATACAACGTAAAACTATTGCTCATAAAAAGGCTGTCAGAGGAAGGAGCTATCTCAACTATTCCTGAAGGCAACATAGATTAGACATACACACTATTTTATACTCTATTTTAGAGCCAGTGTGATGTGCTATTGATATTAATAGTGAAATGTCTATTTCCAGTGGATATGGCACTCCCTTCAAGTACTTGGATAAGCCCAGAGCCCAGTGACTTTTCATACAGGACTCTCTACAGGTTTTGGGCTGCAAATGTTTCAGGTCAGGGTATAGCTCCATAGTGCCAGTCGTGGGTCATGGATCATAGCTCCATAGTTAACAACTGTGCAGACCATGTTGTTAATGTTTAATGGAATGCAGCAATATTCATTATGCACATTGGAGATGGATGTCCTCAAAAAAGGTGGGGAAATAGTCCTTTCTTTTAGGCAAATGTAGAAGTATCCCAAGCACACGCACTTCTGCATCTTTCAAGCTAGCGAATTATGCATGGCAGAGACTGCAAACTGCTGTTTTGATTGTACCCTCTCCCTGCTCTTCACATTTAGATCACATATCACTAGCTACATCCTGAGACTGGGAGCCTGGAACTACTAATCCTGTACCTAATATGGACTGTGCCTGAAGGAAGGTACTTATTCCCTGCCTCATTTTCCCCAACTGTTAACTCTCACATATCTGCCACACAGGGTGAAGAATTTATATTCACAGAATTCTTGGAAACAAAAAGCATTACATGGCTCAGTCCCTGGCAAACAAAATAATACAGTGGTTTTGACTGATCCTGTATTTGATAAGCACCATTTCTCCGTATGTAACTTGCTTATCCAAAATAGTTCTCATATCGTAATGCTCATGTCCCTTTTCAAATTGTTTTTATGCTTTTCTGAATCTAGTAAATCCATCAAAATTCCACTAGGTGGCAGTTTAATACCCCTGTGTTTACTGTTCTTGGCCTGCATCAGTCAACCTGGAACTGACAGGGACCAAGGGTGACTAAATATATGTATCCACAGTATGATGCACATATGTATGTACAGTATGAGGCTTCCAGATCAGATACTATAACAGGAAATATAACCTTTATATAATGTGTTCGCTTAAATGTAATGAGACTTCACAATATAAATAATTGATTTGATCAGAGCTTTAAAGGTACTCTTTTGAGTTTAGGTTTGCAGAATATTTGT